CATCAATTACAATTTTAATTTCATAAAAGTCGATACAGTTTATTTGTAAACTAAAATGCAGTTCAGAGGTATACATATGTATTAAATTATCATTTTATTTCAAAGCTTAAATATTGAATGTATTGACATTTAGGGTTGTTAATTTTATAAATTTAAATCATTTATTGTTGTTACTTTAACATCCGAGCGAAATTATTTATACATATGTATGTAGATAATGTTATGTTTGTCTAAAAAATTAAGTTAACCATTTCTAAATGTTGCTATTTTATACTTATGTCGCATTTAACTTTCCACATCTCGTATCGTTCATCTCTAACGTTACATAATTTAAGATAGTAGCAGAAAAATTAGTAACTAGTATGTTAAAAAGATTGGAGTAACAACATAATACGTATGTATGTATGCAGATCGGACCATTCCAACTTCCTGCGAGAGTTGACGGCGCAATTTATAGTCATTTTCTCTCAGAAGAATTACCAGAATTATTAGAGGATGTATCATTGGAGGGGCGACAAGTTATGTGGTTCCAGCAGGACGGAGCACCTCCGTACAATGCAAGATGCACACGAGAAATTTTGAATAGGAAATATCCTAATATGTGGATTGGTCGCGGAGGTCCTCGAGCGTGGCCAGCTAGATCGCCAGATCTAACGCCGCTCGATTTCTTCCTATGGGAAACAATAAAGAAATATGTGTATTCCATACCCATAAATACTCTGCAAGAACTGAATGATTCGTATTCATGAAGCGTTTGCAATTGTCACGCCTGAAATGATTCAACAATCGAGAGAGAGTTTTGTTAGACGTGCCCAACTTTGTATTCAAATGGGTGGTGGCCATTTCGAACACTTCCTGTAAAAATGTTATTAAAAATATAATTCATGTTAAAACATTATTACAAATATGTATAATTATTAAAAATATAGTTTTTTGTAACAACAGCTTATTACTTGCTTACTTCGATTCCTTCACTGTAATACTTCCCTTTCCTCTCATATTGTAATTCGGAATTTCATTTATTTCATTCCTTAAATATGAAACAGTTATTTATATCGAATGCGAATTTTCAAATGAACATTTTCTCTAATAACGTTTATAACAGAACTTTTTGTAAACCAATTTTGGAAATGTTTGTCGACTGATTTTAAAATTATTTATTTAAATAATTTAATTAATATTAATTTTATTCAACATCGACGGTCTTACACAAATCTTAATTATTTTTATTCATTAATTTGTTTATTATTTGAAATGTTTGAAAAATACATACTTTTTTACTGATGTAAATGATATTTACTGATAATCGAATTTGCAATTACGACATTACTTCTCGTCAATTAATTTAAACATACAGCAGTAGATGTTAATAAAGATTTCAAAACTTTTGCAATATTCATTCGACATCGCGCAATATCCATTAAAGCGCTCGCGCGGCTAGCGCTTGGTTGCGCCGCACCTGACGGCGCGGAATTCACGTCCTGTGATTGGACAATTTCAAAGGTTCACCATTTAAAAACTATTGACCCCTCACCATTTTGCCATTAACATTTTCGACTCAGTTTTTCATGAGGAATATGAACGTGCCGGCTCCTCCGTTTGGTCTGGATCACCCTGTATATATATATTCATGTATAACATACATAAAAAAATATATCTCCTTAAAATGAGTATTTGGATTTACTACGTATTTCTGCTAACAGTTTTTTGTTTTCAGCGCAACATTTGTAAAATTCTAAACAATCTAATTGTTTAAAGTTATATTGGACCATTAACAAATTTTTAATTGCGTCAACACTCAGTCTATTTCTCTCCTCAGTCCATTGAGCGTTCATCAAGCTAAAGATTCTTTCCACATTAACATTATGGCTTGGAATTACAAAGAAAAAGGAACATATTTTTAAAAACTCGGAGTTTGAATGTTCATCCACATTTTTAAAATAATCTACCCATTTATCTGATGATACTTTTCTTGAAAATTCATCATTCGTCTTCATGCTTTCCAAAAATATATTTAAATTACAACTTTGATCGAATATCAAAGTATCATCTATTTCCACATTTTTCATTTTTAAATACAAAAAAGTTTCTTCAATTTCATCCCTTTTTGGTTTCTCTTTTAACTTCATCCACTTAAAAATTTTAAATTCTTTTAAAGAAGATGTCCAATTGTTTAGATATTCCAAAGCTCTGTCATATACATTTAAAAACTCGCTTTTCATAGTTCTGGATTTTGATTCATTGTCATTGGTCCTTAAAATTTCTTTAACTTTTAGCGGCAGAAATTGTTCATACTTTCGTGACAATAACAAATCTTTTACGGATTCCAAAATGTCTATGATTTCTATTAAATTATTGTTTTCTTTTTCAATATTTTCAATATTGACATGAAAAATGTTCATAAGCGAATGAACAAACCACAAATAACATTCATTTAGTGAATTCTCAAAAAATAATTTTATTAACACTGGTGGATGTTCCTGAGATAGAAAGTAACTTTGAAGTGCCGGGTACATTTGCAATATTCTGTTTATACAAGGAAATAATGACAACCATCTGGTCTTGGAATGAGATATTAGTTTTCGATAATTTATTTCAGCAAAATTACAGAAATCTTTTAGAGACTCAGTTTGAATTGTATAAATGGAAAAATAATTATAAATTTTCAAAATCAAAGATTCAATATCGATTGGCAATCCATCAAGAGCATGTTGCACACAGTTATGTAAAATATGGGCTGGACATCCAACTCCGATTAATTCTTTTTGAAAAATATTTTTTAGATGAGAAAAAACATTATTTTGTCTCTTTCTCTGCAGACCACCAAAATTGTTATTGCAATTATCTGCCGTAAATGCGATACACTTATCTTCTAGATTATATTTTTGTAATGTTGCGGTAATTAAATTACATATAGTCTCTATATTTTTCATTTTTTAATGATTTTAAGTCTAACATACGTATTTGTATCCCATGTTCTTTGTCGAAATATTGAATAAGAACAGGAAATATTTTTAAAGCTCCATGATTGCTTCCATCTGTGCATACCCCAATGTAAGGAATTTTTTTACTCTCAATCCTTTC